ATAATTAGTATGGAGAAATAATATTAACAAAGGCAAACACGGGGTTTCAGATAGCTTTGTGATCTTTGAGCTAGTAAAAAATAATTGAATGTGTGTATAAGTTGAAACAGATGGTATTTAAAATCGAAGTTAGCTGTGAATGCATATATATTGCATTCACAGTTTTTTTTTTTTACTTATTTATTTATTTTTTTTTAAAGAAAGCTTACCGAGTTTTAGAAAAAAGTAACGATTTCATTCGATATTTCCGTTACAAATACTTTTACTTTTTCCCTAAAAAAGTAACGAAAGTACAAGTAAAAGTACTAAATTTAAAAAGTAACGAAGTACAAGTAAAAGTACGTACTTTTTACTTGTACCGGCGGTACAAGTAACGAAAGTAAAAGTACTGCCATGTATGAAATTGGGTATGGGTTGATAAGGAGTTGAATTTCCAGTTTTGTTTGTGAAAGAAGGAGGAGATAACACCACTATCTTCATCACTTTTTAAGAATTGAATTGAATTGAATGTAAGATTTAATGGCACAAGGTCCAGAGAGGACATGCTGCGCCAGACACGGTTTTAAAAACACATCAAAAGGTAGAATAGAGTACAATTACACAATCAATAAGTATAGTAAAAATAATAAGAATTTTAAGACAGTGTAAATGCAAGTATTTTTATATGTGGATAAAATTTGATAAAAATGGTTAGCATAATAAATCTCTTATATACTGTTTAAAATACCAATAGGGTGAAAAAAAGCAAAGATGTTAGGATGATGGTTTTCATCTAACAAGTCTTTTATGCATAAAATGGAGCTACCAAAAAAGGTGAGGCGAAGCTGGTTAAAACATAGACCAAAGTATTAAAATGTGATGAATCGTGAGTAAGACGTTGCAATCGTTGCATTTGGGAGGAGGTTCTTGAAATAGCAAATGAAGGTAAGTCGAGTATGTCCTACTCGCAAGCGGGTGAGTTTGACATCTGCCCTGCGCATAGGCTCCAAAGTAGGTTTAACAGAATGTAATTTGTTTTCGCCTTGCAGGTCCCAGTATTGCTGCCATAAACACTGAACAAGTTTGCGAATGTGGTTTTTAAAATCAGAAAATGGGACAGATAATGTTATTGGCGAAGAGGCAGATCGTGCAGCAGAATCAGCTTTGTCATTTCCTTTAATACCTACATGACTGGGAATCCAGCAAAATAAAATTTTAAAGCCCTTCTTGTATAGAGAAGTCAATATATGTTGAATAAAAATTAAAATTGGATGAGCTTCGTTCCTCACATGTTCTAACTGTCTTAAAACACTCAAACTATCCGAGTATATACAAAATTTTCTAGCCGAATGCGAAGAAATGAGTCTTAAAGCTAAAAGGATAGCAAATGCTTCCGCTGTAAAAACAGAGCAAATTGCAGAAATGTCGTAGCTGTAAGTAATATGAGCCACAACAATCCCACAACCAATATGTCCATGGAACTTAGATCCGTCTGTAAAAACTGCTATGTATTGTATATACTGATGACGATGGAAAGTGAACAGCTGTTGAAAAATGCTAGGTGAGACATTAGATTTACTGTATGACACAAATGAACAATCAAGATAATATGATGAAATAGTCCATGGTGGGATGAGAAAATAATTTACAGATTGCGATGGTATATCACAAAAATCAAATGTCTGAATGAGTGATCGCATGCGAGAGTTAAAAGGTGGTATATATGAGGGTCGTGCATCATATAATCGTTGTAAACTTAGTGGAATAATCTCACGTCGAAGAGGGTTCGATGAAGATGACAGGACACGAAAGTAAAATGTCAAAGAGAGCTGCATGCGTCTGAAATCGAGAGAAGGTTGATGACACACAGTATACAAATTCTCAACAGGAGAAATGCTCCACTACATATGCGTAACGCCGTATGATGCACCGTATCTAGACGTTTTAAGTAAGATGCAGAAGCCGTTCCATAAACTGTGCATGCATAGTCAATGCGCGACTGTATAAGTGCTTGGTAAAGCGACAGTATAAGTGCTTGGTAAATTCGCAATAGCGCGGTACGGTCAGCACCCCAAAATATGTTAGAAAGCATCCGCACTATATTTAGGGATCTCTCGCATCTTTTCCGCAATTGTTTTATGTGAGGCAGAAAAGTAAGCTTATGATCGAAAATGACCCCAAGAAATTTTGTTTCCATAACGACTGGTATAGCAATGTTATGAATATGAATAACAGGATCATTGTGAAGCCGACGTTGCCGACGAAAATGCACACATGAGCTTTTGGAAGGTGAAAGAGTATGGCCATTCTCATCACACCATTTTACTATTTTATTGACAGCAAGTTGTAACTGACGTTCGATTACTCTCATGTCAAATCCTGAGCATGAGACATTGAGGTCATCAACATAAAGTGAGCCAAAAACTGTAGGGGGTAGAATGCTTAAAATGGAGGAAACATGGATTATGAAGAGAATAACACTCAGAACACAACCTTGTGGAACACCTTCAGATTGGATTTAGAGATCAGAAAGTGCACTACCCAGTTTAAAATGAAAATATATCTGACTCAAAAAGTTTTTTATAAACATAGGTAGGTGACCACGGAGGCCCATATCAAACAATGCCTTTAGAATGCCGTATCTCCATGTCCGATCGTACGCCTTCTCAATATCAAAGAAGATAGAGATAAAATGGTTACGTCGGACAAGAGCATTCCGGATACGTGTTTCTAATGCAACAATGTTATCAATGGTCGACCTGCCCTTTCGAAAACCACTTAGAAAGTCGGGGATGAGTTTTTTCTTCTCCAGAAAGTAAACCAAGCGAGAGTTGAACATACGCTCAAATACCTTGCTGAAGCAGCTAGTCAGAGCTATTGGACGGTAGTTTATTGGTTCCGTTGGATCTTTACCTGGCTTTAAAATTGGTATCACAAGAGCTAGCCGCCAACTGGATGAGTATATCTGCTCCGTCCATAATCTGTTAAAAAGTAACAGGATATTCTGCAAAGATGCAGAAGTCAAATGGCGAAGCATGTGACATCACTTTTTTAAGATTTACATGCAAACAAAATGGCACAGTTTGAGTATGTCGATTCAATTCGAGGTGGTAAATTAGTTTTATTTAACGAATTTTTATTTAGAATGAGATGAAACACAGGACAAAAATCTACTATAAGTACATTTTTTGTGACAATTAAATGAATGCAAAGGGCCACCTATTCATTTAATTGTTGTTAAATTTAATATGATAGACAAATGTTTAAAAAAAAATTGAACTTTACAATTGTATATTTTATTTGATATAATATCAGTAGAAAAATATTAATAGAATAATTAATAGAATTATTGATAAAAATTATTACATCCACAAAAAATACTAGATATTTAAATATTTGTTCGATGATTAGAAAATTCAAGTAGTTAGACAATAAATTTCAAAGAAAGTTAAGCGTCCCATTGTTGCTAAACCTACATGGAAGAGTTTCGTAGTTTTCCTCTCCATGAAACGTAAACGCAGTTCTTAAAGGCCTTTCACAAAAAAATTTATTTCAGCGCCTAAATTAAAGGTTTCCTTGTCTTCAGAGTTGGCTTCTATGATAAAATAGCAATCATGTGGTGTATTTTTTCCCTAATCTACATGATGAATTGATGATTAGTTTGGAGTGGAGACGTGATTTTCATTACTTTTTAAAGGATGCATTGAACTCTTAATCATCTGTATAATATATAAAAATGTTAAATGGATGAAAATGTTAAATATATAAAAAAAATTGCTAAAATTATTCCGCGCATGTATAGAGTGAAAAAACTACTTTAAAGGCACATATCTTGAGAAACTTTTAAACAATTTTTTCACATAAACTATAAAATAGCAAATTTAATATTAATTGAAAATAGTTCCGAAAATTTCGTTGATTATTTGCAAAGTTATAGCCAAAAAAATCTCTATTTTATAAAAATTTTCACATCTCCATAAGTATGTAAGGGTTTGCAAATAGCAATCAATGCAAGTTAAAATCTTTTATTTCATCTATCATTCAATCTCCAACTTTTATTTTAATTTATCATTCAATTTAATTGCTTTAATTTTTGGTTTAGCGTGTTAAAAAATACTTGTTTTCGTTCGGAATTCATTGCTGGTCTTTGAAACCTTTAAAACTTTTTCTTTAAGTATGAGAAATTCCATGACCTAAACACGACTAAGTATTTCTTGAGAAATAATGCTAATTGGCTTTAAACTACTTTCTTTTAATTCTGCTATTCAAACTTTTCTCAATGTTTTGAATGTCTTCTACCTCATAAATTATTGGTTCAGTTTTTATTATATTTTTCCTCGCTTTAATGTTATTTTGTGACATCTAATATGACTAATAGTTCAACTTTACTTATGAAAGAATTTAATAAATGTAGTTTACGGACATTTAATATTGTTTATGGAATATTCTATGTGTAAAAAAAAGGCCTCTGTACATTTTTTTCCGTATATAATATAATTTCATAGAAATTTAAAAAATTGTTTGGATTGAGCAAATTGATTTTTATTCCTTCATTTCGTATGACAAAAACCAAACAACTATATTTAATTTATTTTGTAGTAAAAGTGGATTTTTCTGGAAGCTAATAAATTCTCGAAAATTTCAATGATAATCACATAAAATCCTGAAAAAAATTATAATTTCAAATTATGTTTTTGCGGTAAAATTACCATATTATGTTAAATTCTTATATGTGTTGCATTTTCAAACCTCATTGATACAGATGATAAATTATATAGTTTAAAATTATTAATCATAATAATAATAACATTATGATCTATTTCGTTAAATATTATTGACGTAATAATTGTACTCAATGAAAAATTAGATTTGAGCTACAATTAAAAAAATTCTTAAAGATTTCAAATATTTATTAATTGTGATCGTTAAAAACGTCTTCCAATGTTTAGAAAAAAAATCTTCTGATAATTGAAGTTTTATTCAATTCTATAGTTTATTTAAAATTGCCGAAACACTACATAAATCCATTTTAATTCACTAGACAAGTTAAGCTATTTATGAAATGGTGGTTAGTCAAGGTAAAGAGCTCTTTCACTTATCTTATTCTTAGAAAATTTTCCCTCTGATAGCTAAGACTTTTCCCTCTGATGGCTAAGACTGCGATCTAACTCTTGCTGAGAAAAAAAAATCTTTCTTCATGCCAGGCTAAATAGTATCCCACTTTTTAGGTAAGCACCAAGAAAAAATAGCTATATCATGCCAAGAGAATAGTAAGCCAAGCTCATTCTAGGGGGGGGGACAATGGGATGCCTTTTAATGCACCTAAAAGCAATTACCATTATCTTGACAACTGAAGTTTTGGTGAGGCATACAATGAACCAGATGGAAATACTTGATGCGGCTACAATAATAACAAAAAGTGTTACAACTGCTGAGAGATATTAACACAAAATATCTTTACCAGAGCCTGCTCTATTTTCAATGAAGAAGATCTTTCGAGATGTATCCTCAAAGGAACTGTTACAAAAATGTATTCATGGTCGAACTCAAAATCCAAATAAAAGCTTTAATAATTGCATCTGGGAAAGAATCTCAAAAAAAAAGTTCGTTGGTATAGAGACCTTAAAAATTGGTGTTATGGATGCTGTGATGTTTTAATGGGTAGACGGAAAAAAAGGTCCCGGTTAAAAAGGTCCCTGGAAAAAAAGGTCCCTGGAAAAAAAGGTCCCGGTAAAAAAGGATCCCTGGAAAAAAAGGTTCCGGTAAAAAAGGTACCTACATAGGGAAAATCTGTAGGGATATTTCCCCTCTCGCTTTCTGGGTAGCATGAATGCTTCTCGCTGTTTCAATGAATATTCTTTTTATCTGTAATAATTCAGATTAGATCATTGAGGTAAGGAGAAGGGTAAGGTAAGACTTAAGGGCTGGTTGTATTACACTTTTTGTTTTTTTAAATTTTATTTCATTTATTTATTCTTTGATTATTTTTTAAAGCTAGAAGATACTATTTAAATTTTTCAATAATGTTTTACTTTTTTTTTGTAATTTTTTTAAGTGAAAAATGTGTTATTTTCTAGTTTAAATTATATTTTGTGAAGAAGTTGCTAATGTGAGGCTTAAAGTAATCAATCGGGGAAGTTGGGAGGATTTATGTGTTGGATGTTTATTCGTGATTGGAGGTGAAAGTATTGGTCCTTTTTAATTAGTTGAAAACGCGCGACACGAGAAAGAAAAAAAAAACATGCACGGAACAGCAAAAAGTGCTTCAATCTAATATTCTCATTTCAAATATTTTCCCCTACAGA